CCAGAGCAAAATGGAAGTCCCTGGGGCGTGAAAACTAATCTCAACTAATTCCGTGCATCAGCAAATATGACGTCATAATGTAACATCGATGAGACTTACCTCGAGTAGTGGCAATCCCATGAGTATTCGTCGAATAGAATCCCTTGCGGAGATGGTCTGTGGATACAGGTCGTACACAGATGCGTCGAATTTCTTGAGCCACTCAGCATCGGGTATTTCAGCTAGTTCTTCGAAAGTCAGTGAAATGTTGCGTCCTTTGGATCGGATCTTCATCTCGTTGATTGTCGGTGGCTTGGTTTGAGGATCGTGAGGGAGAACACCATTGTAGCATAGGTGAATGATGTACTGACTTTGGTTGTTGCGGGGGATAGAATCATTCCACTTGCATAGGTAGTTCTCTATGAACAAAGATTTCACAAATGCTTCTTCAAAGTCGTAGTAATTTAAGATCGTGTAGAAGATATAAATTGCACTAGCGGCCATTACAATAAATCCTGTACCACGACTCCTTGAACGTGCATAGGACCTTAAAACTTTGCATGACAACGTCCTCTCTTGATTTTTGACCATCGACATAGCTAAGGTGACAAGCGGCTGTGGTCTTTTATTACCTGTTCGTATGCTTAAGTGAATTAATATTTCAAGTTCGTTGCCTACATGATACAACCAATAGTTTTCTCGGAGAGTAATTTGCGTAACCGTATTACTCGTAAGCTACCAATTACCTCATCAAAGGTACTGTGAAATCCCTCAGCCTCTCTTGGCTAAGTGTTCTAATTTAATACACATAACGTCTAATCTAAACGTCAATGAGTCGAATGCAAGTGACCCTCTTATGGTCTGAAATATGAAATTTAATATGTGCGTTTTTAATGAACCAATTTTGTTCTGTCGAGGACTCTAGGCATGCGTGTTTATTTTAGATGGAATTAGCCTATGTTAAAGGAAATCAGACATGATTTTGCTTACACTTATTCTTTAGATGCAGCTTTGACTTAAATTATGGCAACCAGTAACGCATTATTTAATTTGCTAACGCCTAAATAAGGGATTTTGTTTTGTTGACCGCCACAAAGACGAGGATGTCTGGCATGGTGAATATTGATGTTCGTGAGTTTATATTGTCAGGGAGAAATGCATATGCCAACTTGCTAGCTGCCCAGGCAAGGTGAACGTGAAAAGCGGCTGGAGCATGAAATCGACGCTATGGTCCTTGATATAACGATGCATGTGAGGAAGCTGCAAAGTGAGGAATTGAACTCGTACTGTGGCTAACTCATTACCTGTTTCCAGGTTGCATGGTTTTATCACATGATTAAGAATTTAGGGTAAATGATTCGCTCATAATTATAATTGATCGATGAGGAATACTAGAAAGTTATTGCAAGCAGACCGCGTTTGCTGGCCTGGCTCATGCAGTTCACATCGCCATCCTTCATCGTCACGTCGATCCTTAGCCTCCCTATCATTATTATTATTGTTATTATTATTATTATTCACAACCTTCTTAATAACACTATGACAAAAAGCCTTTTTGTGAAGTTGGTACGAGGCGTATTTTTTCGCCCTTATCGAAACTTTCAAAAACGAAGAGGCCTTACTCGATTTGTCATTTATACAACTTTCTAAAAAGACACCTACTTGTTGTCGTTGACACACTGTCCTCCCGTAACTGTGTTAATTGTTTTAAACTCAAAATGCCAGCACCAATTCGTCGTAGGAGGCAACACGCTCATTTGACCTCCGGCAGTGATAACATGGAATTCATCCGTGTCAGCTCCACATTACTTGCTGGCGCATTGTAGACGTGAATTTCGCGTCCCCCTTGACCAGCGACGCTATATTTACCGGGTTCTGTAGCCTAGCAAAGCTTGGCCATGTTTTACTGAAGCACATTGGCTCGTCGCACAATTGCATGCTCACAACACAAACCGTTCATGACGAATTCCAATATTACAACATCGCAGGTAATGTCGTTGTAATGCAAATATCACGATTTTAACTTTTCATTCCACTACGTGTTAAGCGTAGGAGACTGGGACTTTAGTCCGGCATTGTACAGGACACTGGAAGATTCTTAAGTCGAGGCCACGTTAGTAAGTGATGATTATCCAATCTAGTAAGGCCTCGAATATGGATCCTGATTTCTTAGAGGTAGGGTTAAGATTCACACATTGATAAGACTGTATAAAGCTCGAGGGACCACTTCAAGGCCACGGTAAATCCCCAATGTCTAGATCTCAGTTAATGGTCATGCTTCTAAATATCTCGAGTCAACAAAGAGACACGATGCATGAGTGTAACGTTGGATTGTCAGTTCAAGAAGGCAGAAATTCACCTTCCACGCACGTATCACATACTTTAATTTCTTTCGCGACATGTTTTGCCTTACTTGAGTAGTAACATTAAAAGCCTATGCAAAAACTCCTACTTAATACCAGTTTCCATTGATTTCGTGGCTCCAGTCTGTTTGCTTTTCCCCAAACCCACTTCTTTAAACCGCTCTGGTTGTGGTTTGCGAGAAGTTGCATGAGCTTGCAAGGCAAATATACATATTTCAGGAATACTTTTACGGATTTTCTTAGTTTTAATTTAATTTTCTTCCTATAATAGAGAACCAGATTGACAAAATCCGCTTTTTTTCGACACTACGTGCTTTTTACTTTCAGTCCTTATCTTAAAGCCACAGACGCGGGCTGAAAACTTGACGTGGTCCGCCAAGACGTCACCGCTCACAAAGAAAGAAGGCAGAAATGGTTATTCAAATTTGAGTTCGATGACTTCGACAGCCATGTTGCAGCCCCGTCTGGTTGTCCTACTGGCCTCACAAGGTCCGTTCACAATAGCTCGTGAAAAGAGAAAAGACATTAACCTACTCCGGAGTTGATTGGCCGATTAAATTACATTCGATCGATCGTCTGTCGTTGTGTCAAATCAATGCATAAGGGGCCACAAGGGTTAATTGAAAACTGCTGACATCGGCCCTTCACTAATACAGCTGAGCAGCTCGTTCTGTAGAGGGGCATGGGCGCTAGCTAGGAGAATTGGTGTCCGTATGCAGATTGTGAGGAAAGAATGCAGTGGATGAGAATGAACATGTAAGTAGTGCTGAGAGTCACTCAGGACAATCCTTTTTACAACCTGGTAATTTGCTGGTGGTGTCGTTTTACACCGTTAGAATTAGGCTCTTCAGGAGAATTCAAGTGATTAGCAAACACTGAATGGATATGTGCAAAGAACACAGCACCAGATCAGATTTTTGATTAAATTGAATTAACACCCTGGTGGCATGGTGAGATCAATGTCTAAACGGTGGCATCGAACCAACTTCTGTTTGACTTGTCGTTTTGTTTCCTTTTATTAATGATGTAAAGTTGAAAAACAAACGGGCTTACGACCATTCTGAAGCAATCAATTCACTACGGCTGAAGAAAACCATTACTAGTCTGGTAATACTCGTCAAAAACACCACAATTTTATTGGAAAAAATTACTGCAAAACGTGTCTGAACCAGTAGCGAGCGATTTGACGTCAGGAGAAACGCGTTTATCGGGCTGCGCTTCTTCAGCTTCGAGTTACACCACTGACATTGAAACTGTCATCATCTGTCTGACCTGTCTTTACATAAATCCACATGAGATCACGATAAAAAGTCTAATTCACTTTTGATTTCCAACGGATTAATTTGACTGATCTTTTAATTTGCTAAAATAACGAGTGAAATGACTGAATTCATCACCACTGAGAGTGTGCGGTAAAACGCTGTGGCGCAGCAATGCAAGCTTGTGGGATCTAACTGACTGTTTGGCATGAATCGCAATATCTCATCACAATTATTCCTACAAATGTAACAGGAAAGTGATTACGCGAACATTGCAGAAAAAAAAGTTGCCACACGTTTGCTGAATGATTGCTGTTGTGGCTTCTTTTTCTCAATGGCTGGGTCAAGTACAGCAGTCGGAGCCGCCTATGCTGAAGCATAACACAAAATAAAAGTGTATCCGTGACCGTCTTAGACGTCGTGATTGAATGCTGCAAATGTTTTATTAGCCTTGAAACTACAACTACTACTGTCAAGAACCATGATGTGTGAAAGATTGTAAAAGCAGCTTGCGATTGCGATACATATCGCATTCGGTGGACACACTTGCAGTTCTCAAAATCCTATCCTCAAACAGTAGTTTGTTTGGTGTATTTAGGGGTGGTAAACGCGATCCGATACTCAACATCCACTTTTAGTTCCGCATTTGCAGTCTGTGCATCAGCAGGTAATTAAGGACACGACTCAAGTTCTCCCATGCTTGCGAATGAAAAAATTCTCAAGGACATTTATAACAGTTTCAAGTCACATGAACTGAGCTTAGCTAAAGAAATACATTAAATTTATGGTGTAGTACTTACACTTTCCGTATCTGAACCAATCAATTTACTACGCCAATTATGTTTCACTATTCGTGCGGTTTGGCTGTGTGACGTTGCCTTCTGCATGTTAATTCATTGAAATTACTTAGCTGGTGTAGTGGTAATTATCGCTGAAGTCCCCATTTCTTTTTCACACCCAGATGTAGTGATGTGATTTGTATTCTATGTTAGCCTACTAGTGACATCTTTGAGACCATCACGTCTTCAATTTGTATTTAAAGCATTTGAGGGCAGTTTTTTCATGGTGACAGTAGGCTGGGACCAATGTGAAACGCCGTGTGAAGCAGCTGTGCCTGTTAGGCTGTGTCGTTAGGATCAACAACGTTGCGATTTGCAATTATGAGAGACGTCTCAGTGTTATAGAAAAGACAACCGAGAGGAAACTGCCAGATAAACTAGCCTGCATCGCATGATGTTGAAGAGGTCGAACCCACACAGGGGACCCACAGACACCATGGCCGGCGATACGCACTAACACGGCCCGACCTAACTAAGAGTAAAAAATGCAGATGGCGCGAAGCTAAACTACTTTATTGGTGCAGCAGCGGCGCGTGTTTGTACTGGGTAACAAGTGGGCTTATATAGCTTTGCTAAGCATCGATCTCTGAACGCGCGGAGTTGCGTGAAGTGCATTCGGGAAAAATCGATTGAATTGTGTTCGCTCACGACTGCTAACTGTGCTCGCCACAAGTTAATGAAGTTCAGTTGAAGCAGTTGGATGAGGAGTGTCGACATTACAGCCCAGTAGTCCCAACGCTCCGGGTAGGGGTGAGTTGGGGTTCGCCATGAAAACGATGACAAGTGAGTATTAGCCCGATACACAACAGCTTTTGTCTGTGGGAAGAAGAATCAACGCCACCCAAAGATTGTCGCAGCTGGTGGACTTTGATGGTGCGGAAACTTTTGCTACAAATTTTGCTTCATCGTAAATGAACAACACTCAACAGCAGTTTTGCCATATTCACTAATAGAACTATCTCAACCTTACGTTCTCTGCATTTTTAATTGACCTTCATTTCAAATTTGAGGATATTAAACGAGTTAGCTTAAAAGAGTAAGCATCGTGATTCGAGTCGCCGCCACGGTAATATGTCTTAAATGAATGAACAACTAGACTCCACTGCTTAAGGCAAATCAAATATTAATGATCAAAGTCCACAAATCTTGACAGAAACAAAACGAATAAAAGCTTGAGCTTACCACAGCATCCCAAAGAGTTGAGGTAATACCGTTTGGATTTTATAGCTCAGAAAAAAAATTGTACGCAATTGCGCTAGTATTCGGGAAGGCTAACACACTTGATAAAGTGGTGTAACGTCGTTTTGTACGCACATTAACTGACAAATCGTTACCATGATGCGTAGGCCTGTTTCGTGTCTACAAGGTACCTGTTTTGGCAAAGCCAAATAACCAATACTTATTGTCTACTTCTATGTTTTAAGTAGAAAAGGTCTTGAGTGGAAGTAACATATACAGCCTTTCAGGGTAGCCTCAAGGCCCGTTCCATATGGTCTCCCATTTTGCTTCATTGTTGAAACACTAGTAACCGCATTCCTTACACACACTGTCAAGCATAAAGTGATTGGTTTGAGGGAGTAGTGCGACCACTGTCCAGCCAATTGTGCCATGGCATGGTACTGCTTACAGCAATATGGATTATTTGTCGAATTTTGGCATCCTCGTTGGAGTTGTCTTGCACTCTAAACTGACTTTATTATTAAACACGTTTCCGCCCACCTTGAATACAGATAAGGTAAGATGTTTTCCTAGGGAATTGCTTTTACTTGGAATGCTTACTTACTGTCTTCAGAAATTAAGGACTTACGAATTAGCGACCACAGCGACCTAGTTAATAACGGCCCACTTTCTTTAAGACATAAGAGGTTGTGTGTAGATTATGTCATGCAGGCCATTTTACTCAACTACTCTAACTGCCCACTGTCTCATGAATTGCACATTCGTCTGCGGCTAAACGAAATTCAGCTTGTGACAAAGCTGCGCATTTTCACTTCCGACGTAGGAACCTAAGCGTCACCTTACTTTTTTGAAACAATAACGCCCTGGAAATCGTAGACTGAATTTCCTGTTGCATTCTATTCGCCATAGGAACCCTAAGTTTACAATTTCGAAAGCAAAGGACTCTCATCTTCACTCCAGGCCACCACGCAAACCAAAAGCCGAGGCACCAAAGAAAGCAACTCAGAGCTGCGTGAAAGTCAACACGGTGTGGTTAAAACACGTCCACGGGAAAAACCCACGTTCTCGCGGGAATCGAAAACTGAAGGCCTGGCGTTCCGCGAATGTTTACTAAGGCTATCAGCCACAAGATCCCGACGCAGTGCCGGGCACCTCCGTAATTGATATATCGGCATTTGACGAGGATACTTTCCTTCGAACTAACAAGGTAATTGCTGAGCAAGTTTCGGTAATCTAACGAATCACCACACGCATTGGACGAGATCCAATCCAACTCGAAAATGAGTTCCTTACTACAACATAAAACAAAGCTCATCTACCTCTGTCAGCTGGCAAGCACGCTGTCACCTTGGGAAGTCGAGTGAAGCAATTATCCATCAGATTGTGCGTTAATTGAACGTCGAGACGCTTCCTCATGGAGGCACATCAACAGAGCCCCACGCGCCTTCCCAACTAAAATAGCCCCAAATTCTGCATGCCACATCGCACTTTTGAGTGGGAGCACAACACAACTTTTGGCCTTTAGGCTACAGTGAGAAGGGAGTCACTGATATGATCTTACTGATGTACGCGGCATCTTAGCAAGATGCAGTTGGTTCTGACAACTTATTCTCTCGAGAGTGCCCAATATCAGTCAGCGTACAAAGTGTGCGTTAGACAGATAAGTATCGAGTAGCCCAACCCACGGGACGAAGAACAGCACACACCAAAACCTGGTAGGGATTGGCAAATAAGCCTCAAGCTGTGTTCATTGGAGGGGCTGACGTCTGAACAGTGCCAACGCAATTACCAAGTGGCGAGTACTCTCACAGGGGCGGCCACCTTAATTGAGACGAGAGCCACGGCAATCTCGAAACAAAAGATGCCGCCACAAGCCTTCAGACAGACGATACATTTCAACGCGGAAACACCAAGAGACCATACAATTTTGTGGTTGCAGCCAGTGTGTGACGTCGAAACTGAAACTACAACCGTACTTGCTACAAGTCAAGGCATACAAGTTCGCGTTAAGGCGACGTGGAAACCGCAGGAGTCTCAGGATGGGGTTAATAATCGAGCCGCATCTAGGGCAGAACGAGCTTCGGATTCGCTATCGATGCCTGACATCCGACTGAAACTAACTCCTACCTCTAGTATTGTCTGACTGCGACTAGACATTCACCAACTGTGAAGACCCAGGATTAGAAAAGAACCAGAGAAGTAGCGCAGTTTCCCAAGTAGGTGCTATTATACTCAAAAATCGCACAATTATGAAAAGACTTTCACCTCTGTACAATTCTGATTCTTTTAATCAAGTTACAAATCAGAATCGCTTTCCTCCCTTCTGGGTGGGCTTACCAACTTTCTTGGCTGCCTTCTGTTGCTGCTTTTGGGCGGGTCCAGCGGTTTGTTTCTTCTTTAATTCAGCCTTCTTGGCCCTCTTTTCAGCTTCCTTTGCCTTCTGCTTTTCTTTGAGTGCACGCATTGCCTGCTCACGCATGGCCTTACGAACCTCTGGGTTCTGATTGCGCTTAGCCATGATTTCAGTGAGGCTAGCACCGGCAAAAGCACGGGCCGTTTTGGTAACCTTTTTAGTGCGCTTTTTCGCAAGCTCCTCAACAGCACCTTTCCTGTACTTGCGGCGATATAGTACAGTCCAACTGACCTCACGGGGATTCCGCTTCAGATAATGTGATCGCTCACATTTAGAGCTGAGGAAGTAGAACTGCCGACCATCACCGCGAATTGCCCTCTTTCCATGGCCTGGATATACTTTGTATCCACTGTAGGAACACACTTCCAACCTAAAAAAAGATTCAAATGTTCAGTGCTGCTCGAGATTTAATGGCGTTGAGGTAAATACGACTGAATGCGAAAAATTCATTGAATTGTTCATAATCGGACTGGGAAAATAGGGGATGGAACTATGTCGTTATAATTTAGAAAGAAAAGAAATTATGTCTACAAGAAAGCAAATATGCTTAAACCACAAGTGGGGCCACGGCTTGCACAGAGAACACTTCACACTGAGATAAAAAACCTTCATTAAGCGCAACATTGACGATATACTTCGAGATGCACTAATACATTTGTAAACTCAAATCACCTACAGAATAGATTAAGCATAACAACTAGAAAAGCAAAATAAACATGCCACGGAAAAAAACTTTTTTATTACAGATCTCCGAATAAGACATTTGATTTTGACAACCAATGTCGACTAGAGGCAAAAAGCATCTAATTTCCGACGACTTAGTGCTTTAAAATAGTGATCAAAATAACACTTCTAAACGCAAATATGTCAAACTAACGAACAGAAAAAGCCTAAAGGTGGAAACCACACGCGACTCACTTCATGCTTATCCCGCTTTAATTAAGTGTGGTGTATTAAAACAAGAACTCTTGTTAGCAGATCCAGTACTTCCAATACATCATTTACTTGTTTTAACCCTGTGTGTACTTGTTTATTTTTTAAGCATATTTAAAATTAGTTAAGGGAAAAACTTATTCTCACAAATACGCATTTGATCTCCCGAATTATTGATAAATATTTAAAATTATATGGCGTTCTCTAATTTTACTCAAAATTACATGTAAAAATCAACATTTTACCAGCGCACACTTTACAGAATGACTTAGTTTGTAATAATTACATGGTTTTGGCAAAAAATACTCTGCATTTTTCATAACCTTGCGAACCAATCAAACATCCCACCTAGCTATTTGACTGGTGGGAAATTTGCATGATTCTGATTGGCCCTTATTTTTCGTGGTCCGTAATAAATATCATCCGGACCCTTTGATCGTTGGTTAATTCGTCTGAAATGGACGTCTGTTGTTGGCTGGTGGCAAGATACTGGCGAAGCTGAATGGTCGAGGTGAAAATCAGCTTCGGCAACTCTTGCTATGTGCCTCAATAATGATCAACTTTGGAAATATGTTACAGCGAGGATAGTTTTGGTAATGTCAAAAATTTTTTTCTTTCATTTAAAGTTAACATTTACATTGTGTCAATTAGATTAAATGAATTTGTGATATTTATTCAGAATTTAGGTAAAATTTCAAAAAGTTAAATTTGTAAGAAAAATGATTGACCGTTATTCGAATGCCTAACATAATTAATTTGCGTGTCCTAGTCGGTACGAGCATAGGAGTATTTCTGGGTTTTTAAATGTATACGAAATTCCGAAATTAGGTAATCATTTTGGCCTTATTCGGTCGGGATGACGTCACAGCTTCTCCACCTTGTTAAGGTGTAACTTACACATTTTACAATTAAAATCTAAAATCGAATAAATCAAGCTGGTCAGAACACTCAAAACTATATCTATCTTTAAAATTAGGTGCCAATGAAATCAGCTTGTGTTTCTAGGCGTGAGTTTGCGTAAATTTGTTGTCATATTTGCTGCTGCGAATTTTTTCCATAAATTGATTCAAGTTTAAAGAAAGGGAGAGTAAGCAAATGTGTAAGCTAAAATGTTTATCAAATGTGAACAATTTGGAATTCTTTTTCGTTACTGGGTCTTTTTATTTCTAACGATAATAAAGTAAATCAAACTCTTGCAATTCAAAAAAAATATTTATTGGTTTTGATTTGGCTATCACACCATATTCCCGGATTCATCTACATGTGGTTGCGTATTTAGAGATCCATTACTACACAGGCTTCGGATCCTACCGGCATTGGGAGCCTTCATTACGACTAAATTTCATGACGTGCCACATGTAAATCAAACACTGTTCCCCTCCAACCTAAATGCAATTGCAAAAATGGGCCTACCCAATCTAGTGAATATGATATCTACTGAACAAGGCAGATAAGAATAGTTATGAAGAGTTAGCAGTTCTGTTAGTAAAGGCAGAATCTTGAATGAATCTACTCAAACACAACTCCAGCCATGCAGCGCCGCATTTTGAATGTTGGTAGGAGTAGGTCCGAGATAGTTTACTAGCAATAAAGAATGTAATTTAACATGTTCCATACCGTGGTGTCAGGCATATGTGCTAAAACTGAAGGAAATGTGCATCAGGACGAGGCACGCTAGTGAATGAAAAAGTAATGAGTAGGAGGCCGAAAATAACGACTGCGTTCGCTGTTCGGCACCGAATTTCTCCACTAGACCAGTAATGGTTGGCTTGGCTGCTCACTGCATTACATCAGCCTCACAGCCACGTGTTCTCTCATCATGAGCGCACCCAATCCCTAATGAGTGAGCTTTGTTGATCTGAATGACCTGCTCATCTCGCGGTGTCCTTATGCCTCACGACTGAAGTGGACAGCAGTGAAAGGGAGTAGAAAACACGGACACGAGGATACTAATTACTAACACTGACTTCATGGTGCGTTTAGTGGAATGAATAGCAAATTGAGGAGACAGACAATGGGACTGATTGCAACTGCGGTAGCGCATGCTCGACAAGGCGAGGTGCTGGATTGATCACAGGCGGAAACTGGAGACGTGCTTTTGACGAATCGAAGGTTAGATGGCACCACAGAAATTGTGGAGTGCGAAGTTAACGACACATAAACACTGGCATTCTGAATTGGAGACTATTTTGGGTTAGACACGAGACTCTTGCGTTGATATTGCATTTATCACATGAGATCGTCTAGTCGTCTCGTTGTCCCATCCGCCGTCCACACGGATTTGCAGTCTGCTGGTTTCCATCATGGCGTCGTGTACTTGTTGTTCGAGAATTGGAAGCAACTCGTAGGTGTGAAGTGGGAACACGTCCTGAGTAAGTATCTGTGGAAACAGTTACAAGCGGTTGATCATTGTGTGGCAAGTGTTCTTTATTCAACAGATGGTCTGGTGGTCGTTGTGGAAAACCCCATCAAAGCGAAGGAAGCCACCACCAAAGTGTCGTGTGTGTTCGCGAGAACAATGACTTTACAAATGCAAACTCTGTGTTGATGTGGGGTGGGTGTGAGGTTGTATGCAATCGGACCACGGACACCGGTGAAATCTAATTGAAGCTTCTAATTTTCCGATAATTTGCAGGCAATTATCAGATGTGGACTGTTATTCATCGGAATATCTGATTCATACTGCTTGGGCACAGACACTGGTTTTTTGGTAACCCTTTTCTTGTGATGAACTTGCGACTGCGATAAGTTACTGTTTTTGTTTTGAGCCTTATTTTTTGGTTTCGCCGCATCACCTACTAAATCTAATATCACGTAATGTTTGACCATATTGCAGCTTGACGTGCCAACCTAAAATTTTCGACAAGCTTGAATTTTCCCAATCTAAAGATCGCTCCAGATTTACTTATTCGCCAAATGTCCTTTTATATTGTGCCATTTAATAACTTTTAATTGGTATGGTTTCTAGACTATGTAATTAGTCTATCAATGATAGTGGGTACTTTTAGGAATAAAAATCACATCATCTTTTGGACAATAGAGGGAATATCTGTCATTCGTGATGGCATTACGAGTCTCCTTAACGCAGACGACTCATATGTGTAACCATGAATTTATACAAAGGGTGAACAAGGAAATCGAAATGTCGCTATTTTCGTGCATGAGGTTTTAATATAAGGTGTGCCACGCATGGGGACTCTGTCTGCACATTTACCAATAAACCGTGCTGATTTCGATGTGTGACGCATGTCTTTATCCCTGTAAATTAAGTTAAAAGGATTTCCATAGCAGTAATTGCTTTACTGGCTTCGAAACACACAGCTTTGTTGTTAATAAATCCTATGTAAATAGATTAAAACGGCCTCAAAAATTGATCGCTGTCAGAGATGGATCAGAACGGGAGAAAAGTTCGAACTGATCCTGGAAGCAGGTTGAAAATGGCGATGAGGAAAGTGCGTACCTTGACGTCGAGTGTGTCTTGATAGTCCGTGTTATTTTGGGGTGCAAAAAGAGCAGCAAACCTGCTTGGATGACCATTTATGATGTTTAGTCAAAGGCTTGGCAAAATTGTGTCAGGGAAGAATATGCCGATTTACAAATAGCTTCAATATGGCAATGAAATAGCTAAAAGAACAACCAAGGAAGTTATTATTCCGAAATTCACATTTCCTCTGGGATGGCATACATGCCTCTCGGTATGGTTTAAGTGTTTGAGGTAACGTAATTTGCGACCTCGTAGAGGAAACGTTTTGCTACAAAGACATCTGTGTCCTTCCTCTTTTGCCGCGTTTGTGTTGGGCTTTTGCACACAAAGGCCCACAAGACCACATAGGAGGAGAATTTGGATACACCCGCGTACCCTGTCCCAGAAATTGGAAAAACTATGCGGACTGTTTTGGATGGATCGATACTTCGCCGAAATTGGAAGTAGAAAGGCTCCTGGACATGCAAAGAACTGATTGAGGAAATGTGCAATGGAGCTGTTGGAATCAGTGGTCCGGCTCGTGGAAAGATCCACCGCCTTCTTGATGCCTGCCGGCGACACCTTTCCGATTTGAGGACCAAACCGGCCACTTTTCCGCGCATTTCTGTCACCATCACCACTACCACCACGACTGGTTACGCTGAGATAATCCCAAAGACGGATAGCCATTTTTTCATCATTTGCAACCAGTGGCCATCAATTCACGTGCTGATATCGTGCATGTTCATCCATTGCAAACTACTGAAACAAATAAATACACAAATCCTAGTTGTCAACGTAACAACAAAATTTTTCTCATTTCACCAAAAAATTAACATATTCAGAGGTTACCCCAAGCTTCCACTCAGCGTCAACAAGCGAACAAAGCCTACGGCTAACTCCTATAAGGTTATCAGTGCTAGGTTTCTAAAAATGACCTGTAGAAGCATCTTGTCTGAATTACTTGTCAACCAAGACG